TTTTTAAATTTATTTTTATGGCCTTTTTCTATATTACATATATTTTATGAGTTGGAACAGAGAACAGTTCTTTTCATCCTAACTAATGGAGCTGTACGTGACAACAATGCCTGCAGACTTTGTATGTGGGCGTAATGACTTAAAACAATGTGGACCCTCCTGGTGTCTTACACTGAACTCCTTCTCGGAGGCACGGGAACGCTGAGAGAGTCAGTACAAAGAGGTGAGCATAATTTGTACTTCTGAGCAGATGAAAGTTACTTTAGTGTAAAGCTTGCCACACTGTAATGCCAGGAGACACCCTAAGTAAAAGATGGAACTTTCCCTAGTGGGGCCCCATGTATTTCCCTGAATAACTTCTACTCGATAAAGCTCTCAAATGGAATATTTGCGTTTCCCCCACTGCTTTGTTTTCCAGAATTTACAGAGTGCAGTTAGCAAAAAGATTGCTTAGAAGACTCATTTATCCACAGAGGAACTGCAGTACCATTTTTTCATGCAGCTGTACAAAGCCAAAGCTCTGTCTGTTCTTGCCCATAACCTATAAAAGCCAGAGAATTAACAGTCTCAACTCTAAGTGTATCTTTCTTTGTACAAGAGAAATAGGTAAATTGAATCTTGCTAAACAAAAGGATGTATAAAATACATTGGGAGAGCTGACAAAATAGGTTAACCCTACCATGAAAGTCTTTACTAAAGTGAACAATGATTCTCTAATTTATATACTTCATAAATCCATATTTTCATGTATCAAGTTTGCTCTAGGTGAATTGTATCTCCTTGCAAAGCTGTTATCACATGGAGATGTTTTCTATTTTTAAAAATTGGACCTTCAAAACAAATTGCCTGTCAGCCTGGGTATAAAACTTGTTACAGGCCCTCTGTAGTGCAGAAAGGATGTGCCATAGAAGACAGCCCTGACTTCATGGTGGGTTTAAATGTGTCCCCGTCTCCATCCTTTTTTGTTATCTCTTTTCAGTTAGTCGTTCCTTGAATGCTAAGTGGCTTGGCACATGTTTAGTTCCTTTGCGATGTGATACAGATTTTCTGAGTATCCTCTCTGATCAAGTGACGTCAGCTCTCCCTACCTAGATCTGCACCCTTCTGGTTTATTTATGGCAGGAGGGGGCAAGGTGACCTAACCATAGCCTCGGGAACATCAGGTCAAGAAAAGGGAGGATTTCCAGAATGTGTGTTATTGAGGAAAATTCTGTAGTCTCCTCCAAAGAGTCTTAATGTAAAATAGATCCTTCTTATATATGAATTGTATTTTACTTAAATAATCTTTATTGATTTCAGAGAGGAAAGGAGAAGGAGAGGGAGATAGAAACATAAATGATGAGAGATAACCATTGGTTGGCTCTCTCCATGGGGATCAAGCCAGCAACCCAGGCATGTGGCCTTGACCAGAATTGAACCTGGGACCCTTCAGTCCACAGGCTGACGCTCTACCCACTGAGCAAAACCAGCTAGTCTATGAAGTATATTTTAAAGGTTACTTCTTTCCCTGTGATTATTTTATTTTGAACATTATAACTAATATTATAAAAATTTATTTCTGAAATATCTCAAAAGTGGAGCAATATTGAGTATTACTGTAGAGAATTGGTTGTCCTAACATGTTGACAGTTAACTCATGCACCCCATAATCATGCCTGCTGCAATAATAAGAGCTACCATTTGAGGTCTTTTTTAAAGAAATGTTTACTTTTTGATTTGAGAGAGAGAGAGAAATACTGATAGGATGTTCCACCCATTCATGCATTCCTAGGTTGAGTCTTACATATGCCCTGACCAGGGATCGAGCCCACAACCTTGGCACTTTGGAATATTGGGACAATATGCTGACTAACTGAGCTACTGGCCAGGGTCTTGCAAACTTTTTTAAAGTCAGGCACAGGGTTAGGCATATTATTACAGCTAATCTTTTATAACAGTCCTATGATATAAGTACTTTTATTCTGTTTTTACAGTTGAAGAAATAAAATCTTAAAGAAATGAAACCAGGATTTAAACCTGTTTCTAGTTGACTCTGAAGTCCATGGTGTGAACGCAGTTGCCATGTTTCTGCTTCACATGTGCACAGCTGAGAGCCTCGGTCAAAGGCAAAGGCGTTAGTTCAGGCGGGAGAGATGGGCAAGTAAGGGGATAACAGCCATACAGTGTGAGACAAAGCTCACAGGGGGCCAGCCATGGGTGCACAGACAGGGGTGCCTAACTCAACCTCGTGGGCAGATAAGCCTGCTGCAGAAAGACTTCCTGAAGAAGGGAATTCTTGAGCTGAATATAAGTTCCTGAGGAAATTTCTGGTCTTTGTGGTTATGATTACTTTAGTCTCTAGCTTGGCCTTCCTGTTGGATTTCTAACTTTTATTTTGAGTTTGTATTGTTATACTAGAGGCCTGATGCATGAAATTCATGCAAGGGGCTTGGCCCTCTCAGCCATAGCAGCTTGCCTCGGCTCTCACAGCCCAGCTTCATCCGGAAGGTTGTCCGGAAGGATGTCTGAAAAGGTCGTTGGGCTGTCTGGTCTAATTAGCATATTACACTTTTATTATTATAGACTAGAGGCCCCGTGCACCTTCTCGAAATCTGGGACCTCCTCAGGGGATGTCCGACTGCTGGTTTAGTCCCGATCCCATAGTGGGGATCGGGCCTAAACAGGCAGTCGGACATCCCTTTCACAACCCGGGACCGCTGGCTCCTAACTCCTCGCCTGCCTGATCACCCCTCACCACTTTGCCTGCCTGCTTGATTGCCCCTAACTACTCATCTGCCCGCCTGATCACCCCTAACTACTCGCCTGCCTGCCTGCCTGATCGCCCTTCACTGCTTGCCTGCCTGCCTGATCGCCCCTAACCGCCTCTGCCTCGGACCCTGCCTCAGGGGCTTAATCCGGAAGGACGTCTAGAATAAAGAAGGTTGTTCACTATCTGATCTAATTAGCATATTATACTTTTATTATTATAAAAGTATATTTTTTATAATATACTTTTTTATATACTATACTAAATTCCTTCATTAGTAAGTAGGCCTGGCTCATAGGTTCAAAAAATGATATGGCTCTTATGTATCTTACATTAGAGCAGGAGAAGTAGACATTAAACACAGCATTTATAAACTAACTTTATAATATAGGTGCTATACAGGAGAGGTTGGCAATATTGGAAGAGTGAGCAGCCTGGAAGCCTTACTTCATTTGGGGAGAGGACAGTGACCAGAGTTACCTGGGGAAATGACATTACAGCTAAGTACTCAAGAATGATTAGGATGAAAGGTGATGGGGAATATAGTCAGTAATATTGTGATAAACTTTGCATTGTAACAGATGGTGACTAGACTTGTGATTACATAATAAAGTATATAAATCTTGAGTCGCTGTGCTACCCACCTAAGACTCCAAAATAGTTTAACAAATTTAAAACAATGAAGAGTAGGAAGTATGCATGAGAAGATGGTTTTAAGGGGGAAGTGTAATAAACAGTATTCAGGTAAAGAAAACAACATGTGCAGAGTCCCTGAGACCAGACAGAACTTGGAAGCTTGATAACCTGAAATTCAGTCAGGTGAGTGGCTAGTATAAAAAACAGGCTAGAGAGGTAGGGCGAGATGACACAATGGCCTTCTAAATGTACTGTTTGTTCTAAGCTGTCTCAACACAGGCAAGACTTAGAACGTAAATTTAAAATATATATATATATATTGCTTCAAAATCCTCTTAAGATCATCAGCTCATATTCTTAACTCTATATCGGTTCTTCCTTTTCATTCACAATTATTTTCTTCTTATTTTTGAAAACAAAATGTTATGCACCATATCTATATCACAAAAAGAATTAACTGCATGTCTTATTTGAATTTAGAATAAAAATTGATTTCTATACAAGCAAATTTTGAATAGAGAAATATTCTGACAAAGATTAACTATCAAATCAAATTTATTAAAAAAAAAAAAAAGATAGATATCACAGTTTTCCAAATCACCCAGAAAATACCGTATTACTTCAGAATAGTACAGATGACTGAATGTCGTGGTCATCATACTTGTAAGCAGGATGCAAAGGCAAACAGCAAGGATTTCATGTTATCCTAGGGCTTTTCTGGTGGTTCTGATCTTTCCCCATGGTGGACAGATGAGGAAAGGGAGGAGAGAAATGTGTGCAAGAAGTCCTGTCCTTTAGACCAGCTTACTTAGTCTAAATGAACTATTGATGTATTTGGAAATGCCCAAGTGTTTGATAAAGATTTTAAATAAAGCCCCCTAAAAGTTGTGGTTCTCAGGTTAATCATTTATTTATCTAAAGGATGAAGGAAGCTGTCTACTTCTGTGATATGAACTGCAATCAGCTTAAAAATAATTGACAGACTAATCCTTTCACAGCACAGCAATTGTACAGGTGTTAGTTTTAATTAGGCCTGTCTGATTGCCTTGTCTAATCAAGAATCAAGGTGGTATCTTTGATGGTTAAGGTCTAGTGGGGCCATCCCTGACCTGCCAGCCATGTATGTTTTAATTATTGATTCCTCCCACTTCAGCCCTTTCTCCACGGAGGGACTTGAAGTCTGGAATACCTTAACATTTAAAGGGGAGAAAAATAAACATTCCCCCCACCCCCCCCCCAGCGTTTCTATCTACAATCTTGTCCTAAAAAGCCCAGCAGGTTGATGACAAAGTCAAATGCACATTCGAAAGCTCACTTGCTGCTTGCAGCCTCGCCTTCTAAGCGCTGCTGGTAGATTTTCAATGGACACATTTAGGATCTCGGCAAATCCCAGTGACTTACGCGTCTAGAAAACACATTTGATGTCTAGATATCCTATGTCTTCTTAAAAGTCTGTAAGGGCGAGTGTGGTATTTAGCAAACCAGGGCGGTCAGACAGAAAGGGCCGCGTGTCCTCTCGCTGAGGCCTTGCCCACACAGCGCGGGGAAGGACTGGGGGGCGGGCGGCTGGCGGTTGCAGCAGTGCAGGCACATGACAGCCGCTCTTGTCTGCTTGCAGGTGAATGAAGTGACGGTGGAGCAGCTGGTGCAGCAGTACCCCCACATCACCTTCAGCACCGTCCTCCAGGACTGCAAGAGGACCCTGGAGAGAGCCTATCAGATGGGCTGGACCCCCAACATGTCCGCGGCCTCCTCCTAACAGCCCTGCCCGCGCTCAGGTCCACGCGGCCGCCCGGCGGGGCGGGAAGGGGCGCAGGCGTGGGGTGTGTGGTCCCTCGGAAAGGTTTTAACTGTCACGTGTCTGTGTGTGTACCCGAATGTGTATATCTGTGTCTTGTTCGCATACTGCCTAGCATAAGCGCAATTGCTGTTTCGTCCCAGGTGAGCTGGTTGTTTTTCTTAAAACTTGAAGATTTTGAACGCTACAAACCTTTTAATGTTGAAGTTCAAAGGCTCATTTCTCTCTCCCTTTTTTTTTTTTTTAAGTGTTTTTACTGTGGGATAAAAATAATTAAATATATTATTTTGAGCTTCTAATTCCTACCACTCGGTGATGCCCTAAAGTGAAGGCAACTGCGTTCTTTCCCAGCGAGATAGACTAGCGCACTTCTGCTGTGACAACCAGAACATACGTGACGTTGCAGTAGTCAGAAGCCTGGGAACTAGCTTCTCTCACTCCCACATGCAGACGCACACACGCGCACACACATGCACACACACCAGGGCCGTTTCTTTCTGCATCATTTCGGACACAGGGGCCTCCCTCCAGGCCACCGGGAGAGCATGCTGCCCGCTGTGGCTCCGCTAACTCCGGGTCCCCACGAGGGGCCAGCCTGCAGTCTGGTAGGTAGGTGACTGGGGGACTAGAGAGGATAAAACCTTTTGTGAAATTTTTATCTGGAGGTACCAGTCCCCTGGCCAGCTCACAAAAGTTCATTATTCATCATTCTACAAATGCGTTCTGTTGAGTACTAAATATTTCAGTTGAGTTTTACATTAACATTGTGTTAGTTTTTATTTCCTGGATAGTAACTTGTCTTGGATGTATTTTAATGGTATTTGGAGCTAATCTTCACATTATTCACATTAAAGTCACCAATGTAATTAATAGTGTGAAGTTATTTTTTAAAAAAAAAATCTACAGATCATTTAATTATTTTTGTTAATTTGGGTAATTATGAAATTATATTTCTGAGATTTGGGGGTAGTCACATTAATAGAATATTAATGAGTGATATAGACAATCTTTCTTTTTTTTTTTTTTTTTGCTTTGGGCTTTAGAGCAGGTTTTTTGGTTATATGCATGTTATTTTTAAGTAGTTTTTATGCTACTACAAAGATCTATTGCTGGTTAATGTATGAGTTAAGAAAAATTATAAAATCTTTAAGATTCTGTTTACACTTGTCAGAAATAAGCATTTCTTTGTTTAAAAATTGACACCTTTCAGTTAAGAAAAGATCTATGTAAATGAATGTTTTGATTTCACACATATTTACAGTTAATCCATGTAGAGACTCAGGCTCAAATAACCTTTCCTCTGTCTAGATTTATAATCAAGACAGTAGGGAGCCTTTTTATGCTAAAGAGTGATTATCTTTCCCAGTAGAGCTAGATACAAAACCCTGGCTTGTGAGTTTGCTATTTATTCTTCCCCAGTGTGGACTAGCTGTTTTTTTGGTCTTTAACAGGTATACGAAAGTTTGAGTTTAACTTTCTATAAGCCCAATATTGCTAAAACGAGACTATCCGTAAGAAACAAAAAATAGCTTTACATTCAAATGCCATTCACTTATTTATAATGACTCCAAAAAAATGTAGAACAACTGCTTTTTTTGATTATGTCAACATGTTTCTGATATGGTTTTTTTTTTTAATTTTTATTCTTTGCTTTTAATCCAAATCAGCTAGGAAAATATAGTCAGTACCCACCAAGGGTATTTTTTTCTGTCACTAAATGGATTATTAATTTAATTTTAAGGGAATAAAGTTTGTAAGAAAAAAAAAACAATTTACTATTAATTTCTTACATATTAAACTGTGTTTTCATTTCTCCTCCACTGAAAAATATCTTAAATCATTATATTTTAACTTTTTTAATCCAAAAATAATTTATAAGACCCTATGAATAGTAATTGTAGCTTGAGTGAGTAAGCAAAAGTTTAATTTTTATATATGTCACACACTATATTTTAAATAGTTGAAGAGAAGACTAAAGAAGGGGGAGCCATCGATGATATAGATGGCGCCATTTCAATTCAAAATTGTTATAATTTTGGAGTGTTACAATTTGGTTGTCAAATGGTTGAAGAAGTGTATAATTGATTTTATTTTATTTTTTTTTTTTTTATGTTGCAGTGTTTGATCTAACATGCAGCACTATAACAGGCTTCAGCTTGGGCTGGGTGGGGGGAGTGGGCCTTGCACTCTTATTCTTTAAGATGTTGACTAATCCAGAAAGCCTGATGCCACATAACCTGGAAAACTGCTTTGGTATATTTGTAGAAATCTCTAGAAATGTCATATCCAGCCTCAGAGCATTAATCTTAAAAAGAAAAAGAAAAAAAGAAAGAAAAAAAAAAAAACAAGCAAACAAACAAACAAACAAATAAAAAATAAAAAATAAAAAAAAAACAACCAGAAAAAGCATTACCTTGAGTGATCCTGTGGTGGTTGTTGGATGTGTTCTTATTAGATGCTTTCAATTGAGGCTTAAAATGATTTTCCTGGGCAATATAGAATTTTTGTTTTGTTTTGTTTGCTTAGAATGTTATAAATGTATGTGAACACGTTTAATGCAGGGCTTTTTATCCTCTCCAAATGTCAACAGTATTTTCAGAATAAAGGCTATGAAATATATTGCTGTAGTGGAAATTCTGGTCCTTTGTCTTTAATGTCTTTTTGAGTGGATAAAGGAAATTTACTCGGTTTGTAGTTTCTATATTTCTGTGAATCTTTTGACCTTGCAATGGGTTGCAATAAAAGAGAAACAAAACTACTGCATCTTTTGTGTGTGTTTTTTTAGAGACAATCGGTGGTCTCCCTGATGCTGGTCAAAGTGTGAGGCAGCCAGTGGCCCATGCCCTGAGTGTTTCACTGGGACTTGATGTAGGTTTGACTAACCGGGAATAATAAACAAGACCAGGTTTAGGAGGTTCTAGTTTGGCTAGTGATTACTGAGATAAGATTAAAACCCAAGGATTTAAACAAGGATTTATAATCCTATTCCCTAAAAACTTAGTCATTATTCACTTAGTTTATTCACTTAGTCATTAATGTACTCATTTACTTTTTTTTTTTTAAGTAAATTAGTACACTTATTGAGTAAAAAATATATGCCAGACACTGGATATTTAAAGATGCCATCCTCAGGTTGCTCATAGCCTAGCAAGGAGAAATTCTTGAAAACCAGCAATAGCAATGGAGTACAATAGGTATAATAATGGGCACCATTAAAAAGGGAGCACACTCAACAGAGTTGCAGCTTTGAGAAGGAAGAGCTTCACAGAAGAGGAGCTTTTTTTGTTTGTTTTTAATATATATTTTATTGATTTCAGAGAGGAAAGGAGAAGGAAAGGGAGAGAGAGAGAGACATCAATGATGAGAGAATCATTGATTGGCTGCCTCCTGCATGCCACACAGTGGGGATCAAGCCCACAACCGGAGCATATGTCTGACCGGAATCGAACCATGACCTCCTGGTTCATAGGTCGATGCTCAACCACTGAGCCATTGACAGCTGGGTGAGGAGGAGCCTTTTTTTAAAATTAATTTATTGGAATAAGATTGGTTAATAACATTATATAAGTTTCAGGTGTACAATTCTATAATGCATCATCTGCATATTGCATTGTGTGCTCACTACTCAAAATCTAGTCTCTTTCTATCATCTTCTTCATCTTTCCCCCATGCCCCTTTTCCTCTGGCAACCACCATACTGTTGTGTGTCTATGAGTTTGTTTATTGTTTTCTTTGTTTATTGTTTTCTGTTTTATATACCACATATCATGGTTTTGTCCTTTTCTATCTAACTTATTTCACTTTAGCATGATAATCTCAAGAGATGTTGACATAGCCCTGACCAGTTTGGGTTTGGCTCAGTGGATAGAGCATTGGCCTGTGGACTGAAGGGTCCTGGGTTCGATTCTGGTCAAGGGCATGTGCCTTGGTTGCAGGCATGTCCCCAGTGGGAGGGCTGTAGGAGGCAACTGACCAATGTTTCTCTCTCATTGATGTTTCTGGCTCTTTATCCCTCTCCCTTCCTCTCTGTGAAAAATCAATAAAATATATTTTTAAAAAGGAAAAGACATGTTGACATAAATGGCAATATTTTGACATTTCAAATGGCTGAGTAGTATTCCATTGCATGTATGTACCACAAATTACCCAATCATCTGTGAAGGACACTTTAGGTTGTGTCCATGCGATCACTATTGTGGATAACACTGCAATGAATATAGAGTACATATATCCTTGCAAATAAATGTTTTTGAGGTTTTGGGGGCAGATGATCAGAGAGGGATTGCTGGGTTATACAGTAGCTATATTCTTAATTTATTGAGGAACCTCCATACTGTTTCCGTAGTGTCTATACCAGTTTACATTCCCACCAGCAAGGAATAAGGATTCCCCTTTTTCCACAGCCTCTCCAATACTTGTATCTTGTCTTATTAATAATAGCCATTCTAACAGATGTAAAATGGTATCTCATTGTGGTTTTGATTTGCATTTCCCTTATCACTAGTGAGGTTGAGCATCTTTTCATATGTCTGTTGGACATCTGTATGTCTTCTTGTGAGAAGTGTCTGTTCAGATCCTCAGCCCATTTTTTAATAAAATTGTTTATTTTTTGTTGTTGAGTTGTATGAGTTCTTTGTATACTTTGGATATTAACCTCTTATTGGAGATATTATTTGCATATATCTTCTCCTATTTGGTTGCTAGCCTTTTGTTCTATTGATAGTTTCTTTTGCTGTAAAGAAGCTTTTTAGTTTGATACAGTCCCATTCATTTGTTCTTGCTTTTATTTCTCTTGCCTTTAGGATCAAGTTCACCAAAACACCTCTAAGCCCAAGGTTCATGTACTTCATAGCTATGTTTTCTTCTATGTATTTTATTGTTTCAGTTCTTATATAAAAGTCTTTAATCCATTTTGAGTTAATTTTTGTGTGAATGTCAGATAGCAATCTAGTTTCATTATT